GAGACTTACATTGTATAACATCTATACAGGATTAAATATGACATTAAATGTTACTTTTGAAATTAAAACTCTTAGGTAAAGTAGTATGCTTAATGTTTGAAAGTGTAATACCAGGATAGAGAAAAAACCAACAACATTGAACCTGTTGATTTTGTGTAACTTTCTTGTTTGCATAAAGGCGTCCTTTTTATTTGCTTATCTATCTTAATCTTAGAAAAAGAATTAACCATATTGTGCATTTGCAAATTAAAGAATCACTTAAGTGTAAAAGAAAATGTTACGTGGGTAATTTGAGACGTATGACAAGATGCAAGTGAAAATTAATCTGTTCTTATCTACTAAAGACGAATTTAAAAAGTCAGTTTCCTTTGGAAAAATTGTTGAAGTTAAAGGTTGTCAAAAACAGTATTGTTACAAGCAGCATATGAAATTACATTACCCATTTCGAGGCATGAAATGCCTTTCATCCATAAGCAACACAATAATCTATTTTATAACACGTTCATTTTATACACACATGAATGAATAAGAAATGTTTTCTACCTTTCATAGGTTTTGTAAGAACTTTAATATTTTTTATGAGACTGCGGACGTCCAGGATAATTAGTCCTAATGTGGTACGGAGCACTGTACGTTCTTAACTGGCCAATGCATAAGGCCGAATTTATAATGCCTATATATATTACCTATCAGGAAAATCAAGTATGTAAATTTTTTTTTAATATATTTTTCAACTCTTTTATTCGTAATGTGTTAACATGAGAACACAAAAGAAACCATGAACTTTCTGTTGCACAGTTATTAATTTGACAGGTTTTCATTAATCAACTTATCGGATTATTATAGTCATTCATACATACACGTTTCAGGTGATACATGAATATATCTGTGAAAGAATATTTTTGTATAAATCTATCTGTTAACCTTTATAGTTAACCTTTATAACATTGCAATATACTTGCAATAAATTAACCAAAAGTCCGTCTGGCCAATGCATAACCATACTGTTCTGCAATTTGCATTTGTAAGTATGAAAACTATCTTAGATTTAAAAAAAAAATGAAGCATTTATGCATTAAAAAAAGAGAACAAGGTCATATTCTGTGTGGTTTTTTGGAAACTGATTCAAATCTACCATACATGAGGAATAAATGTTTTGTTTTTTGTTAAATATCACGTACCACAAACTTTTGGCTCTTTTTAAAAGAAATTTAAAAAAAAAAAACATATGCAATAAAACACGTTTCAAAAAAAAGTAACATGTTATAGCCAGGATACGTTTATTTTGAAAAGGGAAAGTTAAAAAATTATTTAAGTAGCTATAATTTGAATTTCTTGAGAGGCTTAGTTCATCAAAAGGTACATGTATATAGGTACATGTTATATCGTAAGGTTATTTTAAATTATATACTATAAAATATATTTTATTATTAAACATATCATTATATACTATAATTAATAATTATAGTATATAATGATATGGTTAATAATAATAAAACTGACACAAAGCTTACTATAGTATTTAATTCTATATATAATTATATACTATAGTAAGGTTTGTGTCAGTTTTTTTATTCGAAAAACTTTTATGTTCTAATCTTCATCCTAAATACACAAAAACATACACATATACAGCAGATAAGCTTAAGGGTATGGGTGACTTTCTAAGAAATTCGATTTACTTCTTTAACCTATAAATAGTTTTTTTTTTTTGTTTGCTTTTTTTGAAAAACATGAATGAAATCTGTCAACCAAAAAAAAAAAAAAAAAAAAAAAAAAAAAAAAAAAGAAAGAAAGAAAAAAGAAAAAAAAGGTTAACATTGGGTAAAAATTATAACTTGTGAGTAGGTATCGCTTAATGCATTGAAATGATCTAAACTCATTAAATTATACTACAGCATATCATCAATTTCGTTACATGTTCAAACATGAAATATTTATAATTACATATTTCTCTACAGTTCTGTATAGTATGAATTATGAATTCATTGATTTTTGGCTGAACTTAAAATTTTGCCAGTTTCTGAAAATGGAATTACAAGACATATCGACACATTTCCTGAAAGATATCTTCCCTAAGGTGACGCCATAGCCGTCGTTTATTTTCTGTTCAATGATATTTCCCTTCCTGAGTGTGTCAAAGATTTATCGAAATTCCATCATACTATACCACGGGGATCACAGATGATTTAGTGTATAATTAAATATTATATTAATCACCAAAGACATGCAAGATGACCATCAAGTTTAAATGGTAACGTGAAAAGGAGCGTTCAAATTGTGAGTGCTCCAATTTTATGTTGAATGTTCAGTTTCTGATTAAATTAAAGTAATTTGATTAAAATCAAACTTAAAATTCATTTGTTCTGTTGCTAAAACACCTTTTCTCATATTAATATATTCAATTTTATTTATTAAAGATTTGTACATTTTTATAATGTCAATATCTCTTTGCAATTAAGTGCGTTCACTTATCAAACTCTATCAATTGCTCAAGAATTAAAAATTTAGAAGATAATATGAAATATTCTATATACTTAAATGCAGATGCACTTTTTGATGAATTAACAATGCATTTATAAATATGAATAGTATAAATACATATTAATAATCAAAAATTTTCACGTTCCAGTTTCGCACATAAATCAATTTAGATATATAAACACTCGTGTTCTGATGCATACATACATAAATTAACTGTGTTTTATGAAATTGTACTAAGTTTTCAGGGGTTTTACAGAAGGACTTTTATTTTCTGCCTTAATTTCATCCGCTTCCAAAGGTATATTAACCTTGAGGTCTATTTTTGGTAAAAGTGTCTTCTTGCTGTCTTCATTGTTTCTCTCCAGGTATTCGTCATAATAATCCACTTCCTGTCCCTCTCTGCGCTGCTTCCGGATTTGGGTTGCTATGAGGACCATTAATGCTGTGCCATAGAACATTATCACCACGACTACGTACAGCAGCTCATTAAGATTGCTGTCCTTGAAGGTCACAGTTTCTCCTTTGATCTCAATAATCAAGGAGTTATTTAATTTTCTTAGCAAATCTGGATCTGACGAATTGAGGTGAACGTGAACGGTTGCCATTATGCTTCTGAAAGGCATATTATATTGATCGTTTTACACTTTCATTAAATCTGGCCACCGTTAAATGAAATTAAACAGGAGACTTGTGGAACATTTTTAACGTGATATTCATTAGAATGTTGATCATGTAAAGTATGTCGTGACAACTAAAAACGCTTAAAATCGAATTTGCTTTTCAACATACCTGTTCAGTGCAGGTGCTCTGAAAAAAATAAGTGAAAATGATATATTCCAATTTGTATTTCCGAATAATATTATATTTTTGGAAAAAGTAGATTACAAATATCAGACAGCAAGTGATAGACATACACATGTATAATCATATTAAATCTTATTGGCTGGAATTTGCGCTATCAAAGTGACTCAAAGAATTAATTCTTAAAGGTAAAGAAAGGATTAAGTTGTCATATGAGCGTTTAGATGATCTAAACCAGGTATTTCTCTCTTCAGTGTGATTCAAAAAATGAACATTATTATTATTATTATTAATATTAAATAAATCGCATTAAATTTTCTGTCACGATGCAAAATGAAGGATTTGATAAGTTAAGGCACCTTAAAGTTTCTAACGCCCAAATCATTCATGTTTGATAAATCAAAATAATAAAAATGTCTTGATATACAGTCATAAAACCTTCATTTGCTAAACACTCTACAACATTTCCGAATGCAATAAACAATGAAAATAGTGATCACTTTGATAACAAATGTTCACATTGATCTCATTCAACATACAAGCACATCAACAAACATTACATGAGCTACTGTACCTTTGTTTTCTCTGTGTGCTTCACATTCCTGTGTTTATTCAAGGTATGCCTCAACTTCCTCTTTTTTAGTTTATCCTCCTTCACGGACTGTGCCAGGCAGATCTCAGTCACAGGTCTCCCAACAGGAGGCTTCTATTGATTGGAAATCGGAACCAATGGCTGGAAATCTGCAGTTGAATCACACAGCAGCTAAACATCGTAACGTAATATCTATTGGCTTTGGAAAAAAAGAGGAAGAAAAAAAAACATGTATACATGTTAATGTAATATAAGACGTAAAACAATGTACATTTTCGAAAAAAAGACATAAGTGTAAAAACAAAATTTATCTTAAAAAAAAATTGTTTTGGTCATTAAAAACCATTGGCATACTTTGTATTCTATAAGAACATTTGATATATTAAGCGATATTTATGCATTTCTGAATATTGATTAAAAAAATATTTAAAACATTTCTTAAGCAAAAAAGTGTGAAATCGAAAATTAAAAAAATAAAAATAACAATATATATTAATGTTTTGTATTCAACAAAATATCAGGATACTGGTAAAATATGTTCCATTGTGTGCGCCTTTTTCAATATCAGTTTTATCATTGTTAGAACGAAGGATCTTCATTCTTATATACTTAGTTCTTGAATTACAGGTTTATAAATGTCTTACTACCAAAACAAAATTATTAAAACTAGATCAGTAATTATAAAGCTTTTTAACTAAAAACCGGGTTTGTGACGAGAAGTCCTTACTTTGAAATCATAGCTCAATGGTTTTACCGTATCCAATTCTGATTTAATAATTTTAACCTAAGCATTTAAACTGCATTTCAAATCATCAGTAATCTAATCCAGAGTAAGATTTACAAACGGGAATCAAAGACAATTTACATCAAATGCATGATCATTCAAGGGAATGCATGATAATTCAAGGGAATGCTTAGAAATGGGAAAACTGGGAAGAAATGAATATTTGTTGTTGGATTGACTGATTGTTTATTGCTTAACGCCGAGTCGGCAATATTTCAGCCATATTTTGGCAGAACATTACTGGAAATATATGTGCTTGTTTTTTTTATGTTTGATGTCAATATGTTTACTTAGGAAATTGTAAAATGTTGGTTTCAAATACAAATACAAACAACTTGCTTAATAATGAACACTTTATTTATAACTCTCAGAGCAAACTCCTGTCCAACATCAACAATCAGTCATATTGTGAATGATAAAACGTAAATAAGGAAAATGGTAGTGTGATCAAACAGTCTATGATGTAACTTTTAGGGGAAAACAATGATCTTTTTAGGTGGATGAGGCTTACAGAAACATTATACCTGAATATAAGTAACAGAAAAACCCGACTTAACAAAAACAAAACATATTCATTTTTTGTGACTCAACAAATCACAAAATCAAATAAAAAATCAACATCATATTTAGGAGTTTCTTGTTCACAAATTTCAGCAGTTAAAACCATTTGTGTTAGAACAAAAGGAAAGTGGGTTAATTTCCCATTTATTTCCGGAACAAAACAGACAGATTCATTTTTTGTGACTCAACTAATCACAAAATCAAATAAAAATTCAACATCATATTAAGGAGTTTCTTGTTTACAAATTTCAGCAGTTGAAACCATTTGTGTTAGAAGAAAAGGAAAGTGGTTAATTTCCCATTTATTTCCAAAGCAATCCTTGCCATTCAAACTTAATACTTATTAGTATGACTTAATAATAGCAATAGCTGTCAAAATTAGTTCTTTCACGATTGTCACAAACTAAAGTAAATGTAAATACATGAAAAGGTAAAGTTTGAGAACTATGTCATAAAAATATTATGTTAAATTGAAATAAATATTGAAGAGATTTTAAAAACTTTCATATCATGAACACACTTGTATAACAACGTCTTAAAAATGTAATTGAAATTTTTCCAAGAATATTTTTCCCAGTTTGGGAATTCAGTATGTACAATTCAAAAGAATTTAATTTAGCTTCCGATAGCAAACATTTTCCCACTTTTTCCGGGTCCAAGTTAAAGGTTGCTTTTAACACTGTGATATTTCTAAACAAACTCATTTCCTTTTCATTTGCTTTTGAGTTCCAAATTCGTGCTTGTACAAATATATATACCAAATGTCAAATACGTACATAATGAACAGACGAGGCGTAACCTCATCTGAATACCTCTACTGTGGGAACAAACGAGATGTAACCTCATCTGAATAACTAACCTCATCTGAATACCTCTACTGTGGGAACAAACGAGATTTAAACTCATCTGAATAACTAGCCTCATCTGAATATCTCTACTGTGTGAACAAACGAGATTTAACCTCATCCGAATAGCTAATTTCATCTGAATATCTCTACTGTTGAACAGATGAGGTGAAACCTCATCTGAATACCTTTATTTGTGAATAAACGAGCTGTAACCTTATCTGAATATTCAGCCTCATCTGAATACCTCTCCTTTGTGAAGAAACGAGATCTAACCTAATCCGAAAACTAGCCTCATCTAAATACCTCTCCTGTGTGAACATATGAGGTGTAACCTCATCTGAATACCTCTCCTGCTTGAACAGATGAGGTTTAACCTCATCCGAACTTCTGTACGAACTCCATCTTTCCTGTCTTAATAATACTAAATCCGTATCCAATAATACTTTGGAATTTGATTTAAAATTATGGTCTCCTAATTTTAAAATAATGTATATCTATTTACTCAAACGAGATTAAAATTTCAGTTAAAAAAGTCCCTGAGTATATTGGTGCAATAGTTCCTGAAACACTAATTAGGCAAACCATTTGATATTTCTTGAGCACAACACAGTATTGCATGCATTCAGTGTCAGAACTGATGGATTTGTTGCCTTGAATGATTTATTTATGACATTGCATTTGTAGTTACTATTTTTCCTATAATGTTATAGCAAACTCGCTATCTTTGCTTTCTTGGCAACTATCTATCCCATTTTTCCCACTTGAATCAATCTCAAAACCTGTGGCATAGGGAACTGTACTTTGGGAACTGTCACTTCCTATGGAAAATGTTTGAGAAGTGCCTACAACCGTGTCACTATCACAGGGATTACATTGTCTCTCGAGTTCTGGAGTGGAAGGACACGTGTCTAAATTTTCAGAATCGGAAGCACAAGTGGAAGAGTAATTAGAACACATCACATCTCTATAACCTCCTGAAATATCTCCTGAGTCATCATCCATCATGTCATGCAATGTATTCCCCTCCTCCTCCACTCTGCTGTAGCTATCAATTGGGCTTGAACAACTACTAGAAATGTGAGGTATTTCTGAGGTATAGGTTACTTTCGCCTTTTCTTCACCTGGCATAACTGAAACATTGCAGGTTGTGAGATCCGTGTGTGTTTGCTTCGGTTTCTCCATCATCATTTTGAATATAAGGGTTTGTTTGTCTGAGTCAATCGGTGTAGTTGGCACTGAAAAGACATCGGATTCACATTTCGTGGACCCTATGCCACTACTGCTTACACTTTCCCTATCAACTTCCGGTCCTTGGTCCTCAGAGGAAATGGATTCCGGCGAACTATGAGTACCACTATCACCCATATCCTGAGAGAAATAATTTATAGTTAAAGTTGTAATACGAATAAAAAAAAGTGGCATTTTCGGGGGAAAAGAACAAGAGTTTGCAGATCCCTTAAATTCTTCCAATGTTATTGTCAATATATCACCCACAATCTATAACGTTGAATCATTGAAAAATGAAGACTTGTTATGATGACATACAAAGTCAAATCATAGAAAGACAGAATTTCATAAACAAAAGGATAGATTATAACCTTATCTATCATTTGCAAAGTCAATAGGTTATCATAATTAGGTTTTTTTAGTAATGTTTGGGAATAGTCTGGAATGTAAATCGAACTTGTTTCCAAGTTTTTTCTATAAAATAATATTATAAAAATTTTTCAAACCAAATCAAACCAATGTTGACTACTTACACGTATATCTTTTTCTTCATCTGACAGACCATTGTTGTATCCTGGATTCTACAATAAATATTTAAAAATCGAATTTATAATCAATTTCAACGTATCACTACTAAATGATAGCGAAAAAGTAATAGTAAGGTACATGTACACATGTAAAGCTAGTTTGAATGTTTATGAACGCAATATTAGCAGTCTGCTAGCTAAAATCAAAATTATTTCAAAAATGTTTAATGATGCAATAATCAACTTGCAAATTTTTTATATTGTTATTGAGTTCATTTTGAATTTCAATATTTCGTGATTATTAAGGTTGAGAAACATATATACAAATCGAGAAAGAGGTTAATAAGTGTATTTTGCAAAAGATGACATGCATGAATATACTGTTATTCAAAAGGAAATAGTGAATAACTAAATAGCAAAGAAACTCCCTTGATAACACAATGTTAAATCACTACTGAATAGAACTAATTATGATATGATAAAGTGTGCTGTATTTTTTTTAACTACAAAGTAAGAATCAAAAGTTAGTATAGATCTAAGCATTTAACCTTTCATTATAAAGTACACAAAGTAGAGAAGAAAATTAAAGATGTCGAAAATAAGAGTTCTATTGGTGCATCTGCTTTACTTACAGTCTCAACTGACGACACGGGCTGTATACACAAAATTCGAATGCTAATATTAAATAGGTGAACATTTGAAAAGCAAAATGCCTTTTGAATTAAATAATTAATTAGAGATGAAATCGTACCACATATGATTCAATGTCAGGCATCTTGATATCAGGTTTTTCAAAAGTACATTTTCGTTTAATGCAGTACGCCATGAACATTCTGTAAAAAAAAAAAAAAAAAAAAAAAAAAAAAAGATAAGCACTATCAGAATATGAAAAAAATCTAGTCGCAGTATTTGGACATTTACAAATTAAATGCAAAATCTATTCGATAGAGTTTTGCAATAATTTTAATTTTGACTGAAAATTAAATCATCACCAATAAATCAATAACAGATTCACTTACTTTCTTTGCATTTTTCACCATGATTAATGTAACTTTAACTTTTAAAACCAACATTATAGATTCCTACCTATCTTATTAATCTAAACCGATTAAAAAATATTGACTATTAACTATTAACTAATGACTTACATTATACACACTGCTAAGATTGGCACAAGAATGGCAACTGCTGTAGTTTCATCATCAGCAATAGTATCGCTTTCTAATGACATAAATGTAACATTTATTTACAATAGTTATTATTAAATATTCAAATATAATGGCTATTTGATAGAAATTGTATTTTGAATTTTAGATTAAAAGAAGCGAAAGTTAGTTAATGAAAGCTATGGTTAAATTCTTAATTTATACGTAGCATTTCATATTTCTAGTTAGAGATCTACAGTGCAGTGTAACTTATCTCTCAATCTGATAAAATTGACATTTAGATTTAAGAATACTTTATGTAGAAATGTGTGATGTTTATTATACATTACAAAGGAAATATAGTTTACCCTGTATCATGATATAATGACCTTATTAGCAAATATAACCTGTCACTGGGTCGTATTTTTGACTTGTTAGTCCTTTGTTTTTGTGCTAAATTTGACTACGGAATGTTCCGTCTGATCAATAATCGATGAATACATAGGGCTCACGGCAGTTGTGACGGGTCAACGAGGGATGCTTACTCCTTCTAGGCACCCGAACCCACCTCTGGAATTTTCAAAGGTCCATGTTTATGCCCTATTCACAGATTAGTATTGTTTAAAGTTTTTATGAGATCGATCACTGTTCGTTATCTTCACCTTTTTCATTATATAAGCCTGTTGCTCTATCTTCCCTGTTTTCATCGTGGGTAAATTATATTCTCTTTTTTTTTTTTATTTAAACTATTTTTTTTACCTGGAAATGAGACGGTCTGGATTTCGCTATATACTGTGTGGTTGTTTGCTAGTATTACACCCAAACAAATATCATATTGCTCTCCAGGATATATATTTGTCAACGATACGTCTCGAAGATCGTGTCTGACATTTTCTGTTCTGTTCAATGAAAAATCTGGAAAAAAGAAATACTTAAGCAAAACCAAGCAACTTTGTAAAATAAAATAATGTTTGCTTGCCCTCTCCCGACCGGCTGAGTCGGGAGAGGGCAAGCTAACATTTATTTAAAGTATCTACTGAATACAACCCTTTATTTTACTATATTACACTGAATTAAGAAAAATATGTTTATTTGAATTCGTAAATAATGATGAATAATTTACATGGTATTTTTTGGTGAAGAAATGTATTTATTTATTATCTGATTGGATTAAAAATAAAACTTACCATCTGGGCACCTCATGTTCACATTTCTATGCTTTTGGTAGAAGACTTGGTAAGTTAATGGTCTGCTTTCATATTGACAAACAGATGATACAAGGTCAATGACCAGTTCCTGCTTACTGTTCTTCTTTAGATGTCTGGCATTGAAAGCTAATTTGAAGTCTGAAATTTGAATTGCAGCCTTCACTACAGAATAATTTTTAAAGAAATACTTTCGATCTGCTTTTTGAAAATTAATATAAAGAAATATCAGTATCTAATTTTGAAACTTTTTGGCAGAGAAAAATCTAGGAAGCAGTAATTAAAAAAACTTTCAAATACATGTATACTAAAGTGACTGAAACGAATGGTGAAAAAACTTTAAGTAGAATAAAATATAATCAAAGTGAACACAAGAAAAATCGATCGGCAGATGTGATGTTTGAATAAAGTGGCAAACATATTCTCGTCTTAATGCATTTTTAAAAAAATCTTAATATGCCGAGAAAAACACGGTAAAATACTTCCAAGGAAAGACCCACACTTCTTTTCTATATAATATTTGAGGGGGAAAATCATTAATAAAGTATAAACATCTCAATTACAATGAAGCAAAGATTATCCCCCATTGTTTATTATATTACTTCAAGTAGTGAAATCTGTTTAAGGGATGTGCTTTTTATGCCCCCCCCCCCAATTTTTATTAATATTATTTCCCTAAGGTAAACTAAATTGTATTTATTATGAAGTACTAGTATAAATATCTTTAAAAATTTGGTGATTACGCTTTAACACTCAAAACATTCTTGAACACTTTTGATTATAGGAAACGTTCAATTTTCATTAAGGACTTTCTTATCTGAATATAATAAAGAACTAAGTGCCATCAGGAACTCCATATTAACAAGTTCGACTCTATACGTACCATCCCGAGAATAAGGTTGTTGATAATAGCATGTTGCAAATGTGAGTCCTGATGAGGTATTATTTTTGTATTGTACAGAGACCCCAAATATCAAATATTTGTTGTGCTCTATGTCAGTAAGACGTACACCATTTCCAGGCCTCTGGAAATTTTTCCACTTAATGTCACCCTGTGTAAATAACATTCAAAATAAGTAAAACAAAAGGCCCATGGGCCACATCGCTCACCTGAGTAACTTTGGCCATGCTGTTCTTTACCAGATTTCCCCCCTTGTAATACCTATTGTGGCCCCGCCCTACCCCCGGGGGCAATGATTTGCACAATTTAGAATCTTCACTACCTCAGGATGCTTCCATATAAGTTTCAGCTTTTCTGGCCCAGTGGTTCTTGAGAAGAAGATTTTTAAAGTTTTTTTTCTTACATATTTCAATGTAAAACTTGGATTCCCTATTGTGGCCCCGCCCTACCCCCGGGGGTCATGATTTGAACAATTTAGAATCTACACTATACCAGGATGCTTCCACATAATTTTCAGCTTTTTGGCCCAGTGGTTTTTGAAAAGAAGATTTTTTAATGACCCTACCCTATTTTTGTCTTTTCTTGATTATCTCCCCTTGTAAGGGGGCTTGGCCCTTTATTTTAATAATTTAAACTTCCCTTCACCAAAGGATACTTTGTACCAAGTTTGGTTAAAATTGGCCCAGTGGTTCTTGAGAAGAAGTTGAAAATGTGAAAAGTTTACAGACGGACGGACGGACAACGTGTGATCAGAAAAGCTTACTTGAGCTTTCAGCTCAGGTGAGCTAAAAAAAATTGAAATTTCAAATCTGATGTTGAAAGGCTTCAAACGACTAACGAATACAGCTACACCTTTACTGATTAATAACTGAAAATAAAGGGGATCGAACTGTTTATCTCTTCATGGGTTTTTTTTTTTTACTGTACCTCACAATGTTTTTGACCAATCTTTGTACACCACATTATTGTTACGGATGTTATAGGAACGACGTCATCCATCTCCCAGGTGATCCAGTAACCCTTTGTTTGAATTTCTTCCGCCATGACAAATAATCCACTTTCTTTATTTTTTAAAAAAAATAATGACGATAAAAACGATTAGACATTCATAAATAGGCATGAGAAACTGACTTTGTATTTATGCCTGCTTTATACATCAGAAACATAACAGAAGAATAAATAGACAATTGTCCTTACCGTTTTCGTTTATAAAAAGTATTGAAGCGTTTTCAGAGGGTCCCTCTATATTGATATATCTGAGTGATGCAGAATAGTGAGAATCGGATATATCTTTGGGTATCGTCAGAAACGCTTCAGAAGAAGAGAAGTTTCCCTCCCATATGGTACTGTTGATTTCATCTGAAAGTACCACATTTACCTTACAGTCCTCTGCGTTCCAATATCTTTCCTGTAAGGGCTGAAATATTAAAAAACAAACCTTGATTAAATCTTTTTTTAGTACATATCAATTCAAATAAAAATTTTATAAATATTGTCCTCTTTCTTAATTAATTCATTAATTAATTCATGTACTGATGATTCATGCAATCTTCAAAGTGCTGATAAAAGCGAAATTTTTTCTCGTATTTCAACAAAACAATTTTCTTTAAAAAAGAAAAAAGAAAGAAGAAAGGAAGAAAATAGCATCTTAATTCTTAATTACATTTGTGTTAGTGGTATCAATTCCACTCTTAATATGCATTGCAAAGATTAAATATTCAGCTTCTAAGATAAAACAACTTTCTCTCAAGTTTCATGTGGGTAGTCTGTCTCTTTTGCAATATTTCCAGTGGATATGATACATGTATTAGTTTATTTCTATTTGATAGCCTTGTTTGATGTTCATATTTCAAAGAAGAATAAGACACGGAGAAATATAGGACATACCATTTTGTTAACCATTTATTTTTGTAATTGTTATACTGTATTGATAAGATGCCTACAATGTATCTAAGACAATCATTAATGTTCTCTTCTATATTTTAGACAAAGAATGATTTTGTTTTTAAATCTTTACACAGTATATACTATTTGCATTTATTCAGAAATTCAGAATAAAATGTACAGTCTTCTAGTTTCAATATTGGAAATCTGTAAAACAAATAAAATCTCTGGAATATTTTGCCATTTATCAATAATCAACTGATTAATTTGATGCAGTTTTTTTCTCTCTGTTTTCATTGGCGTTTTAATCCATTCAACCTTGTTATTACAATTTTCTTCTTATATGTAGTTTTTATAAGTATGTATTTGGAAACCTTTTTTTCAGTCAATGAAATTTCAGGAAAAAAAACGATTTATAATGTGTATCTTGTCATAAAATCATTTAAAATAAAATATATGTCAGATGTTGTATAACTTTTTGAGTGAGAAGATTTTTTCATAGGTTAAAGAGATGCCTACATCAAATAAGTGGTTTCATTCTTATTTTTAAAAAAATTTCAAATGGTTTCATTCTTATTTTAAGAAATAATTCTCTACAACAAATATGTTTTTAAATCTTATTTTTTAAATTTAAATTTCTTGGGTTTTTTAATTCTTCATTTTTTTTTTTTCAACTCTTTCGCAAATATACTTAAACAATATTATGCTTATATTGGTTATGTACTTTTTGCAATGTCGCAACCGTTCATTCTCGATTTCAACAAACAAATAAAGCCATTTAATTGTTTATATCTATATCTGCATAAATTATTCATATAAAGTGGGTGAAAGTTCGTAAAATATTGTTTTATTGATTCATCACATTGATAGAAAAGCCATGAAGCATTTAACTTGACATTTCTTTGAAAATCTTTCATAAAGATTTAATATAATTTAAAATCTAAAGATAAATGCTTTAATTTAGAAATTGATTATGTTTATTATTTCAGTTGAAGAGCAATCGGTTTTCATCAGAAATAAATGAGTAAATATTTTATGTAAATATTTTGCCGAAAAATTCGGAACATTTTTCAATGCCAATATTTTGAATATGTACAATGGAGATTTGATAAAGACCTACACACACACACACACACACACACACACACACACACACACACAGAGTAAAATCTCTTAAAAATATCAATTCATCCTCATATGATTGGAATTTCTATTTAGATATGAAAGACTTTATGGAATTGGAGTTTACCTTGTGAAACAGGGTTATTCCAGTCTGATTATGAACATAGTAAAGACCTGGCGACGTTTCAGGTGCCCAATAGGGAACTAAAAATAAAATTTGCATTAAGTCATGTAGACATCTTCTACCCATTTTCTAAAGAAGTTCTTTTTTACCCAAATTTTCAAAATGAATCACAAAGACTAAAAAAAATAATATTCTTGAGTACCGTATTTACATATATATTTTTAAATATTTCAGCATCAATAATATATCACGTTAATGATTACTCTGGGAAAATAATAATGATTTTACCATCAGGGTCAGTCTTGATGTGTTTGGTTTTGACATCACTCCAGTATAAAGAACGTTCTGGTCTTGCTGTTATTTGTATTATGTAGTTCGTGAAAGGAATACAGTTTCGTAGTGTTGTAGTTACGCTATCATTTCCACTGGAAAATATTACCTATAATAGAGAAAATAGACATTCTATAGATATTTAGCTCTAAAATTATAAAAGATTATGACACCATTTCATTATTAACTAGGTTTCGAATGCCTTAACGCTGTGCTATTAAAAAAAAATAAAAATTAGTTTAAAAATTGGGTTCAGTCTGGTTGCCTAGACGTGCTTTTGAACACCTTTGGGAATAAAAACCCATAAATTACGGGCCCTAGTAAAAGTATGAAACTAAGTTTTGCTGTGTTAGCAAAACTATTATAATACAATGTACATACGGGCTCGGTTTAAGGATGATTTATTTTGAGTATTTTGAGGATTTTTTTTTTCTGTCCAAATGCATGCATATTGATTGAAATAAAAATCGCTTTCAAAATCGTATTCCTGATGCATATAACAAAAATACGACACTTGCCAACTTGGATTCCATGGGAGTCTCGGTTCACACTTGATTTCAATCAATATCTACACTTTTCCTACCGATATCGGGTGAGACCCAGCTTAACATAGTTAGAAATCATCACTTTATTGCTTTCAATTTCAATGCCAAGTATTGAGAGTGTTTTGGTTTCACTACATGCTTTTACAAAAAAAAAAAACATGTGCAAATCGGCGGACGATAGAAAGGAGACATTTGCTAGATCTCACACAAAATCGGTAGGATATTAAAATCAAGTGTGAACCAAAGCACTCCCTGGGATCAAAGATAGCGAGTGTCAACCCTTGTATATTTTTATGTAGGCCTACATTGAAGTACGCTTAAAAAACTGCTTATTTCAGCGATTTTCGATTATAATTGTAATCAGTGTAATTAGACAGACATAGAAAAACACACAATACATAAAATATATCATCCTGCAACCTAGCCCTTTTGTTATTATTTGGGTAGAGAATTGCTTATTACGTAAAAAAAAATAGTAATTAGAGAATAGCAACTGTTACCATTCTTGGTTTATTAATCCAAGAAGCTCGGTACGTTATGTTGTAGACAACAATATCATCAATTTCGCGGTTGTCCCTAAACTCCTTGGGCAGATTCAAAGAAAGTTGTAATGTGTTGCTGGATGGTTTTATTGTAACAATAGGATGAGACAGTTTCACTGAAATTTAAAGAAAAAATATGCATGAATTAACTGCTATAAATTTTTGCAAAATAAAATATCTCTTTGATTAAAATTTTGAAGTCTTTTATGAATAGAACAATTAGATGAACACGAAAATAAACTCATTTAAAAAAAAATTAATGAAACATTTACCTATTCTACGGGTAGTAATGTTGTAGATACGACTTGTCACTCCAATTTTATTGCTTAGTGTTATATTCATGTAATAATTTGGAGATGGTACAAACGTGTCATAAAGACCATAGGGAGATATTGCAACATCAACTGGAGGTATATAGCATCCTGTGGTAAAGTTGTTGCTACGAAGTTTCGTTGTAAGACTTTCAGGACACGGTCTGTATGCGAACGCTCTATTTTAAAAATGAGAAAAAAAATATACACATACTTTTTCATGACAGTCAAAATAGTTTTAACAAAAAAAAATAATTAAAAAACATTAAAACTTAATATCAATGATTCTCTCTGATAATTAAATTTAATCAGTAATAATGGTTACTGGTTTGATAGAAGTAATGTTCTTACAATACAAAGATATTTTATACGCAAACATTATTTTATTTAGAAAAATGGTGACATTTAAGCCAGTTGGCAAATAAAAGTTGGAAGTGTGGAGGAGATGATTGAAATAGCTTTTGAAGGACTTACTCAGATGACATGTTATTATTATTTTTCCTTCGTTTTACATACATGCTGTAGATCAAAGTGTTAAATTCTTGTAAAAAATTATACTACTCATATTTGAAATAGAAAGTATTGTTTTAAGAAACAACAATGATAACAAATACTATAATGTATGAATAAATTCATGATAATTTTCCAACGAGGTAATCGTGCAACGTAGCAGTTGAAGTGATTTAAACATTTCTTAGTTTCTCTGATTTTGATTCGGAAAACAAAAGCGATTTCACCCGAGTTTGTCCTTAAATAAAAAAGCAATGTATATACAGTCAAGGGACATAAACGAGATTGCAAAATGGCCGACGTCACGACAATAAATTTTGTAATGCAAAAAAAAAAAATGCTTTGTGTGTGTTTTTTTTCCCAAAAGATAAAACTGTCCACCTAATTTGATTATTACTATGTAATATGTCCCCGCGAATGTAGTACAGTATTATCCTCCTCGGTAGACTTTGATTTAGGCAACGAATGTAAACCAAAGGGAGATTACTCCAAGTGTCTTGAACAACTAGTTTCAAATCATAAGCATTTCTTATCTCGTTTGCTCTCCTTCGACTCACACTTTCAATACTTTCCATATATTTTCAATTATGTTAACATCCGGGCTTTGTGGGGACCAGGGATATGTTTTGATATCGTTATTCTGTTTCCATTCACTTGATCTAGAGAACACATGACACGGATCATTGCAACTGTTCGTAATCCCCATATATTTCATTGAAAAACCCAACAGCGATTTGTACAAGGCCTAACGACTACCGGCCAAAGACACATGTCCAAAACTTTAATATACTTCTCATTGATCATGTTTCCATCAACAGCTTTCAAAGTACCAACTCCATTAAACAAAATACATAAAACATAACGGATGTTCGACATGTCTTCCCATCACCACGCAAACCAAGGCACTCAGGTCTTAATTTTTCGTCTGTCTTTCTCCACACATGTACCTAATTGTTATTTCTTAGTATGATTTTCGTTTCATCGCCAAATATGATGGATGCGCACTGATTAGCCACTTTTCAGTGTAGTTTTTGTCCGCAAAAACGACATCGCTTCTCACGATTTGTGTCCCAGAGACTGCTGTTTTCTTTGTATGCCCTCTTCCCATATTTGTTTGTTTGTTCGTTTTTTTGTGTGGATTTTTTGAGATCGATCGCTGTTCGTTATCTTTACCTTTTACATTTTGAAACTACACAACATTTGTATCCTTCTTCATTCAGTCGTCTTTTTACATCTGCTTTTAACATCTTTAAGAGTCTTCCTTCTATTCTTTTTTACGCTCCGCATTAGACATCTTTTACCGCTCACTGTCGTTTTTCTTTTCCTTCCACTTCGTGGTAAATTTTCAATACTTCCTCTTTCACGCACACGTTTTATAAATTTTTGAATGGTTTTTGTGTGTATTCCTATTACATTCTGTATTTTGTAGCTTGAATAACCCTCCTCAGACATCAGTAGAATTATTTCTTTTTGCTCTGTCGTCAACTCTTGCCATTGAGTGCCATGTTGCTTAGCAGACGATATTTGTTTACCAAAGGGAAATATTTCAACTTTTATTTGCATTTAAAAAAAACATTAAGTCGTAGGTATTTTTATGCCGGAAATCTTATACGGGTAAATCGTGGTTACTTTGTAAAAAAAAAATAACTTTAGGTTTATTGCGTACGAAATCACTTGAGCAGCCATTTTGCGAACTCATTTATAGCACGCGATTGTAAATACGTGTGAGTGGTGCAAAATCAAGTTTTATTTTGTCTTTTCGTGGTAAATGTGTTTACTCTAGCACAGATTTATACCCTCGATATCTGAAAAATGAGATATGTCAAGCAATTTCAATAGTTTAACAAACTTATATTAGAGTTGTGTAAGTATATATGATATATGTAAATCTAGGAAGTTTCAATATTAAACTTAAAAAATGATAGAGTCAATTTTTTTACAGGATACAACATAGTAAATGGGTATTTTGAGAACGAAGGATTATTTCATGTTTTTAGATAAAGGAAAGAGATATCTATTAATCTAGAGTTAAATTAGGGAGAGAATGAATATTTACCCATCTGTGTATGTTACAGTCCAATGTGACAGAACTGAATTATTAATGTTATTTTCAGGTACTTCCCAGTTGCAACGCAAATCGCCTCTATTGTTTGACACACAGTTCAGTTTTTCTGGAAGCTGAGGTTTATCTGAAATAGTAAACGAGAAAGAATTACAGTTCGAAAACCATGCAGTCATTTTCTAAACCAACATATGAATACGGTTCGTTAGATTTCCTTTTCTTTTTGAAAGTAATTCATCAGAAAACCCTTTTGCTAGGTATTTTAGATTACAATTTTCCGAAAGTGTCTTCTTACACTTTTTATATTCGATCGTTTTGAATATCCATGCATATATATTACTGCTCTGTCATTGTTTATGTTTTACTGGTGCATTCAATTTTCTAACGCTGCACACATCACTGGTGTGTTGATTATCCTTTCTTACAGTTATTTTCTGATTTTTCTTGATGGTATAGTTTGAATGAAATATGGAGATAATGGACAGTATTCCAAGTTCAAAAGTCCATTGAAACAATACAAATCGGGAGCAGAGCAAACACAGACCTCTAAAATCATCAGAGATGAGATCGGATGCCCTTTCATCTGAGGATACGTTCGCGAGCGCTCGCCAAACTCCCTTACCCCTCCAACAGAAATAGGCCTCAGATGCAATGGAGGAGTAAGCATCCCCTGTCGACCGGTTACACCCGCAGTGTGCTCATTGTCAATATCTTTTATCTATACACCACATATTTCCAATTTACTTGAAATGTCAGAAACACTCATGAAATTCTCCCGAAAATTATGACGGATATAAACAGTAAATATGTGTCATTGTACCTTCAACTTGACGAAAAATATAGCTGAAGTTTAACTCAACTCTATGTAGACGCGGTTTAAATTAATCCATATTTATCCGGGCTATTCTGGTTAGTCAAACCTAACATATATATGCTCAACAAAGATTTCATGTTCTGCATATAATATAATAGGAACAAAATACTTACAACCAACCATGACTTCCAAATGTGACGAGCTTGAGAAACTTTCAGAGGGGGTTATGCAAAAATAGCTTATAAATTTCGTGCTAACAGTGTCTAGATGTTGCCTGTAGAATTTGGTGGTGTTATTCTGACCGATAGGCTCCAAACGTTCACAATCCTGTTGGGGTATGCATTTATCTAAATGTAAATCCTGCATAGATTCGTTAGATTTTCCTAGTGAGCACGATATTGCCATTGAACTATTGACCTCTACGTAGGTATAATTTGAAGGAAAGATAACTGGAAAAGACAAAAGAATGTAATGTACAGTTTAAACAAAGAAGTATATATTAATCAGTTAACGATTCATATTTACCCTAATTTATTTGCTCAACATCTCTTCAATAGAGCATACTTATTTCAGATGAAACATTTGTTTTCTGACTAGACAAGCTTGTTTCAAGATCTTGTATATGATGTGTTTACTTACTAGTTTGTGGCGAAGCGAACATGAATATTAGGCACAAGAGAACATAATGCTGTAAGAGGAGCTGTGGTTTCTTCATGATGATGGTTATAGTGTGTTTCTGGGGGAAAAAAGAACGGAAATAGCACATTAGTTTGCTTATATATGGTATTAGTATTAACAAATATGTATTTCTGCATGGGTAGGCTCTATAAGGACGTATAATACAATTCAGTTGATTATGTTTTTCCTTCGAATGTCTATCATGAGGTATAATAAAATCATCATAACCTTGTTTATCTTTAGAATTTTTTTTCACGATTCTATTAAAATGTACAAGGGAAAAAAAAAACAAGGAAATCATTTTCTTTAATCTCTTGCTGCTAATGAAAAAAGAAGAATGAATTCTTATTTAAGGACATAAACCGTTACAGTTATGACTTCCTGTTAAATCTCGTGAACTTATTTTAGATTGTCCAGCGGAAATGTTTGGAGATTAAGATGTAAAGGCGTATCTCGTATTGTGATTATATTTGTGCAAACAAATCTAAAGTTCTACTGTAAGTTCAATAGTTTCGGTATTCAAAATCGGAGAGAAGGGGCGGGGATCAATAGATGGAGACAGTTGGAGATAAAAATAAGTAAATGGTGATAAATTAAACATTGCATGATATAATAATTGCTTCGGGTGTATTTTTATCGGTTGGAATATCATATTTATACTTTTGCTGATATGTAAACTATTGCTCCATTTTCCTCCAAATGTATTTTTAAAAAAGACATTTAAGGAATTTAAGGGAAAAAATTTTGCTTAAAAATCTCATTAAAATATCATTACGCATGGGTCACTTGAACATTTGTTCCCTAAACAACGAGTTATTTTGAGTAACCAAATTTATTCACAAACATCACACTTGAGAGGATTTTGATATGTATTTTGACATGTTTCTTTGACAAGTTAACCTTTGATTATTCACATTTGCTTTACAAAAAATGGATAACAATGCAGTTCAGAACGAAAGGGGAATATCTTAAGTCAAAGTAGCATTATGTAAGTGTCGACCCTTCTGATGTTGTAAGGAAACACTAAGTTTTTTTTTTATATCTGATATTGCTGATTTGTTAGAAAATATCTAAAACTTCCTTCTTACCTTGACACTGTTAAAGTCTTTATGGAAGTAAACATTGTTTATTTAATCGTGAATTTTGGTTTTAACGTCACAAACAAGGGTTCATGTCGTGTGATTAAAGAAGGAAAGGCTGTTCGACTGTAAATATAAATGAGTAAATATTTATGATGACATAATCAGTTCTTAGAAAACACTAGCATCAGCAAAGTTTAAAACCCAATACACTACATTGAACACAGTGATGAACAATACAGTATAGTGTTACGATTAATATACAAATCAATGGCAAAAGTTTTCATAATTATATTATATTTGCTACGTAATTCATTATTTTGTCCATTATTTGTTTGAAAAATGGTAGATACAATAAAATAAAATTAAAAAATACTGTATTCTAAACTTTCTATTAGTATTTAACTTTAAAAGATGGCAGAACATTAAAACTTACCTGTTCATCATGGCGGCTTCAACATTCGTTGTGAATATTATCGAGGAATGACTGATAATTTTTATCTATACACACATCCATATTTGACTGTTTTACTACTAATAACTACTATACTATCTTTCCCATACACACAAGTATTTTTTTTTCTCACTTAACTAAATCTTCTTATCAGAGTAAAGGTTAAATCCACATTGTGGACCGCATGGCTGAGCATACGTCAGTAATCTCAGTGTGACAAAGATGGGTTACCTTTCAAAATTATATGTATACAACATTTCAAGTGTTAGTATTTTCAAACCGCACAATGGTTGACGTTTCCTATAAAAAATTGAAGATTGTCAAAACCACAAAGTAAATAATGGAGCAATTTGGACGGTAGAGTTGTTACTATTTTGAAAATATATTTTTGATGCTAAAAACTGTTTTTAAATGAAAAATGTGCATTGAGGTATTAATGTAAGGCAAATGTATAATAAAGGGAATATATGTCATTATTTCAAAGTAACCATATTACACTGTAACATTTACTTTCTTGTGCATTTATATGTATCACACCAATTTCAGAGATTTGTTTGGATTTAACCTAAAACCCTTAAAATCAATTAAACCGCTTAAAAAATTCTGCTTTATAATTAAATTTCACAATTCTTAACTTTTCTTCTTAGATATAGTTTATGTTTGTAGAATTGAATGTTTTCAATTTTACTAATGTTTACAGTTTGAGGCATAATTATACAGCCATTTAAAAATATTCCGTGTTGAAATCAGTTTGACATAAACAAGAGCTCATATTTTACATAAACATGTATTTTGATCCCATACATATTTTGCTTTTGAATGTAGCCAGAAGAAGAAGAAACACTAAGTAATGTAAACTTATATTCGAAATCTCAGCTCCATTGTTTGCTTTTTCTTATTGCAAAGCAAAACAGAAGATTTTTGCATTTTTTTCAAAACATGTTTTTTTTGTTTGTCATTTGTATGAAGAGAACAGGGCATATTTATAATGTAATCTTGTATATCTCTAAGAGAGACAAAAGGCACCGATGTTCTTCCTTTTTAACTAAATATATCTGTTTGCTACGAATATAAATCTGTACTTACTATTCTGAGCTTCGGATGAATAGAAACGTGTAACGATCAGAGAATAATTCCAAACGTATCTTTCATTGCATTAATTCTTCAAAGGCATCTAGAACAAATCCCTTCAATAATAGTTTTTTTTCTTTTTACGCATTACATGTTTTATTACGTATAGTTCGTGGACCTTTTCGGCTTTAGGTTTAATGTAAACGGCAACACTTAGTATTGGCTTATCATAGAGACAAAAAAGAAAGAAAAACAATAAATACCTTCACCTTGGGTTCTGTGATCGGAATTTCTTTTTTGTATTTTCATTTCTGTTTTATATGTATCGATGCCCTTAATATTCATTGAAAAACTTCTGTCATCAGGACCTTCAGTTTTCAGAATTAGGAATTAAGGCCATGGTCTAATGGCATGGTATTCACCTCGATTAATATTGTTTTCAAGTCAGACATAAGTGTAATTAATTATTCTGTTTTGGTCGTCCAAATTGAATTTTATTTTGCCAATGAAATACAGTGTAAATATCATATATGTTTATGGGAAATGAAAAACTTCATAGCATGTTGATGAATCATACCTTTCAGGAATTGTATTCAATTTTTTTGAACAAAAGTAACAAAAATAGTAAGATGCGAATACATGTATTACTTTTCTTGATACTTTTTGATAACAATATCAAGGTTTTAAAGCATGAACAAATTAATACAATTTAGAATACTTAATGAAAGCAATATTATATATTAAAATACTTTGTAAACTAGCAAGTGAAAATAGAAGACAACTTTCACGAAACAATTCTAGGCAGATTTCGATTGTATACCTGTTTAAATCATTATGTTGGTATTTTTTTTTTTTTTACTTTTTTATTACTGTAAATGCTTATCAAAACTATATTTAAAACAGATAGCTGTAATTTTTTTCCCAGCAGTATCAGTAAAATGTGTCTGCAGTTTTTCTTTTTTGAACATTATTACCTTTAACGGCCGTTCTGGCTTGAAACGTAACAATTGGATATCAGTTTAGTCATTATTTCAGAAAATATATTTAATAATTTATCTGTCATTATTCCCAATAAGAAAAAGTTAAACAACAATGTACTATAAAATGCATATGTGTATCTTTGCGCTAAAAGTTACAATGGTAGCATCATATATAGATGGACTTCTTTGGCAGTCCTTAGATGGACTTCTTTGACAGTCCTTAGGTTTCGCCAAATTATGCCTTATGTCCTTATAAGTACTTTAGATCAAATATTTGTAGTTGATATGATAGTACTTACTGGCGTGGTCAACTTTTTTTTTCAATTTTATCATCTTAGAAATACAGAATCGTTCCGCAAGTTTGCCTTTAAAAAAAAATAAAAAAATATCTGAATTCAAGAGTGAACTTCTTTCAAGACAAGTCCTATGATAAACATAATTTACAATGTAAAAAGGACAACACCTTGACTTTTTCCCCAAAAAATGTTCATTCTTTGCCATTTATTGCTGAAATTTATTTTGCAAGGTCGTATGAAACCTTAATGTCGGTAATATCGCATACTTTACAGATCTAGTCTGATCATTTATGTTTCTGAATTTGTCGACGGTTAGTGTATTTCATATAAAAGTAAGAAACTGGATAAGAAGAATGTGCTCAAATACAAACTGAATACAAATCAGTCAATTGTTAAAATTATGTCTAATTTACTAGAATTTATAACCTTTATATGGTGCATTCATAATTGTGCATCGATATGATAATTTATATTATTGCAATTATTCATTAAGTTAGAATCCTGATTCTTTCATACAATCAGCTGAAACTTGTATTCATCAAAATGACTGCTAAGTTAGATTGTATACTTTCAAATTAAAATACACATGACATTTATATTTTTTGTAATATATAGTGTATTCATGACAATGAATAATAAAACTTTTTGTTGTGCTTCAGAAATGATTTTTTTTAATAGTCGTCACATAAAAACTAATAGTTTTCAAAATGAGAGAAGATTCTGCTTTGGGACAAGGGAAAATCAGTAAGACTTGAGGGGATATCCAACTTAAGATGTACTTGCAGGATTGTCTTGGATTAAATAAGCATCAGGATATACCACAATATAATATGAAAAAGAAAAAAAAACTCTTCTCCGTATATTTTGATGTAGATGTTGGTTGAGGTACGCAGTCTCTGAGAGTCTTGTTGGTTGTCGTAATAATCTCCCTTCTCACTAATGATTTTTTTTCCTGGCCTTTATATCTAATAAGAAAAAAAACTAATTGATAATCCTTTAATCAGAAGGAGTTTATATTTAAAAATGCATTTTTTTAAAATGTTAAATGATTGAATCGTTATCACATGTGGAAGAATATCAACCATTTCTTTACGGTTTTAGTTTTGGCTTAAAGACTCAAACTAGAAGGATGAAAGATTATATTATTACGATGTCTATGAGGAAAAATAGACTGCAATAAGAAAAATATCGAATTTTTCAATTTTATACGTCGGATTGTCTATTAGGCTGAGATCTTGCGTCTTTATATTGCCATTAATATCAGCAATATATTTTTATGAAATAATACCTAATATTGACCTAAAAAATGATTATTGTATATCATGCTTAGAATTGTCACGTCATTTCACAGATGCTGCCAGCAAAATAATAACTAGCTGTAAAATTGCAACCAGAAGTGTCGTCACGTGACCCCTAATACTGGTAATTTAAAACTTATGGTGTCTCCTGTAGTAAAACAATTTAATCTATTGAAGTTACTTTTGAAAAGTACAAAACTAAAGAGTTCTTGTACTGTAGTGCAATCAGGTAAATACATACCAAAACAAAAGAAATTAAGCATTTCTTATTTTATTTTAAAACCAAAAGTACAAATGACATGTAATTAATGATATTTAAAACAGATATTATTCTGTACCACCTAGTATCAGTCTCAAACATTGGTAGAGAGTGTGTGTGGGGAGAGGGATAACTGGTTTGATGTACAATGCAGCCAAGTCTTCTGAAGATTTATTATAGAAACATAAATATATTCTGTATTCACGAGGACTGTACCTTTATCCCCTTCTACAACAATCTTTTTAAATTAATCCTCCACATTTTTCATTTTGTCAACATTAACTCGCTTTGCGTAAAAATGTCTAAATATACTTGACATATTATATCACAAGGTGTGCCTCTTATGTTTACCTGTTTACCTGTTTTTTGTTTTTTGTTTTTTTGTTTTGTTTTTTTTTTGTTGGTTTTATCAGTGTAAACTTGTACAGTGGGCATGACATTCTTTACACGACAATGCTTCTTGACGTTATTACATGTGCAGTATCACTGTGTTTTCTCCATAAATACGATATCTCTGTTTTTGAGTTCTACCGAGATGTTGTTTGTTGGAGGTAATTCGAACCTGAAGACTTGCTGAATGGGACAGCTTTGATTTTTATAATAGGTAAAATAGAATGGAAATATCCACAAAATAAGTAAAATTTTGTTTCATATATCGTGGCTGAATAATAAAAGAATTATTCTGTATCATGATGTTTGTCATTTGCGCTAGAAATTTGATAATGCTCACTTTGCGTGCGCATAAATCTATATTAACAGTATTTAGACATTTTGAAAATTATAAATTGCCATCAGGCATATTTGATAAATTTTTAACAGATTAATGTGGCGTGAGTGAAAAAAGTTGAATATTTACTTGTCAATTTATCATACAACTAAACTGTGTTAACATTTTATACCTTGATAAGTATATCTTAACATGCTGAATAATCTAGAAGTGGTATTATGATAAACTTCAAAGTATTTACGATCACTTTCTTTTTTTTTTTTAATGTTACATTGTTCGTTGTAATATTGATACTTCTTGCCTCAGCGAAGCAATTTAATATTTTATCTATTTTTAAACAATTATTTCGGTTACATTGTCTTTTCTTAATATGAAATATATATAATTTAATTTTGTTTGTATTCTAGCCTCTGATTGGTTAATATCCAAAAAGGAACACAAATTATTTCTGTATAACCTGG